TCATATGCGGGTGGTGCGAATGGGTCGACGGGATTGTTAGGTGGAAGGTGTAGAGTATTGTTCGGTTGCTCGGGCCTTTGTATGACACGGGTACCGTAGCTCTGAGCACGATGCGAGCACGGTACTGCCGGTAGCACAGTACCAGCACTGTTGGGGAGGTAGGCACGGTCCCTGTAGTCAGGTAGGGAGGGAGGGAATGGTTGTCCCTATGTTTTTGAGTGGGATGGGATGGGGTGTACTCGTACAGTACTCGAGTACTGTACCTGTAACCCGTATCCTACAGTACTAACTAGCACGGTACCCATGCCCCGAAATATTGAAGTTGGAGTTGACTGCCGGTATGCTCGAGTACTGGTGGTGGTACTCGAGTAGTTTAGTCTACCGCCGTACCGCTATATCATGAACTCTCTCTTCCGCTACGGTAGTCTACAATACTGAGTATTAGTACTCCAGTAGATAGCTTAAACGACCCAAGCCGTCAATAGTCAGGACATTACGCCACCCTCACCACCCACTCAAAAATAGGGGTGTTGGCACGGACTCGCTGCTACATTTCAATACTGCTTCTGGGAAGCTAGTCCATTTCGGGATTTGTTTTTTTTTGGCTTGTCCTCTTGCTGCTTACTGCTGGGATGGGATGGGATGGGATGGATGGGGGGGGATTGGGTTGGATTCGGCAGTAGACTGAGGTATGTAACGGTTTTCTTGCTCTCTTGTTGGTTTGCTGGGTTGGACGGCTTTCGGTTTCGGGGAGGTTCCCTCCTCTGGCGGCCCGGCGGGTACGGGCACTGCACTGTTTACTTGTATACAAGTAGTACTGGTGCGATATTGGTAGAGGTTATTGGGAGGGGAGCAAGAGGTGTGCCCCACCGTACGAGTACTAGTACGAGTACACTGCTACTGTGCATCGCAGCGGTCTCTTTTTTATTTTATTTTTAATCTTGGGCTCATCTGCCCCCTTCTTTCTTTGCTTGGGCAGTTTACGATACTCTACAGCAGGAGGGTTGTTAGGTGTGGTATGGAGGGCTTCTTCTTTTCTTTTCCTTTCTTTTCGCGGTGGGCAGGGAGGGGAATAAACGGTGGTATGATAGGAAAAGTGAGTTGGGTGTTTGTAACGGTTTCTCCTTCTTCGGCTGTTGCTTGGGTACGGGTTTTCGGACGGTGCGGTGCAGCGTGCGGCGCGCGGTAGGGGAGTTATGGGAGGGAAGAATGGGTGCGTGGATGATGTGCGTTTATTGATTGCACTCTCCAAGTGTTATGGCTTGCTTGCTTGCGGGTTAGAGTTACTGCGGCAGGGATATCCCTTTTTCTTTTCATTTCCTTCTTATATTTCCGAATTGCTTTTTTTAGTTTTTATCTTCGAACCCACTTCTTCAGATTCGCCTTCACATTAGTGAATGGAGTGAAGGGCGGGTGATGGCAATTTGGAAAGGGGGTGTATGATGATGATGATGATGATGATGATATCTCAACTTGCCTGTTGTCATACCGGTGCTCGAGTACTGTACTCGAGTATGGATGCAGGAGGTTGACTTTTCGTCCATCGCTTTCCCTCACTCCTTCCTGCTTTGCTTGGATGGATGGGTGTGTGTGGTGGCACCCTGACAAAGGGGTGGCTTTAGGAGGGATGGATTGGGGATTGAGATATTCCCGGAATCGGTCGGTGGATTCAGTGGGCTCTTATTTAAATCTGTCTGGCTTGGGAGGGTGGGTGCAAGATTGCCAGGTCTGGCACAGGTCACTGGATGGATGGATGGATATCATGATTGCTACGGTACTGTACGATGCCGCGCCGCGCTGTATAATGGGGGGAATGAAGGAAGGGGGAAAGAGGAAGAGATGGGATCGATGCCACCGTAGAGTGGTTGCAATCTAGCGTTGCATCAGAGTGGTTGTTTATAGAAGTTTGGTTGTGATGGGAGGATGCATAAATGCCGACTCGATCGGCAAAATGCTCGTGCTGTAACCTGATGGTTCGTTGGAACAGTTTGCCAGTCCTGCGGCTGTCCTCGCATCCCCCCTCATCCTTATTGTACCGAGTACGGTGCGGTACAAGTACCGTATCCTACCGTATCCCGCTGTTTAAGAAAGGGTGCCATGTCGCCCCGTGGCCTTTCTTTCTTTCTTTCTTTCTTACTCGCTCACTCACTCACCTGTCTGTCCGGCATGGAATATCGAGCGTTGATCCTCAAAGTTATTCACCACCGTATCTGCGAAGCACCGGCAGAGTGTCATAGAGATACTGCGGTCCCGTAGTAGAGTGCGGTCGTGGAGCAATTTTAGGATATATACCGGTACTGTGTACTCGAGTGCTCTACAAGTACGGTACTCGAGTACAGGGTGGCGGTAAATGTGTGTTGCCTACTAGGGTTGAGAATAGGGAACCCCCAGATCAGACCAGCCAGACGGGGAAGATGAAAAGTGCGCCTTGCGGGCAATGGCACTAAGACTTGACCTGACTCGACAAGACTTGGCTTGGGGTTTGGGTTCAGTTGAGTGGAGAGAAGGTGTGCATGTCATTTGGGGGGAACAGAAAAAATTGGGAAAAAAATGGCAGAATTGGGCTTACCGAGCAGTGGTCCCCGCCCAATCATCTCGTGCGCTTTCCATTTCGGTCAGGTTGCCCCCATGAATCCGGAGTGGCCAAAGGCAGGGTTTTGAATATCACCCCTCTCTCTCTTAGACTCTCTACTCGAGTATCGGTGCTTGAGTATGATACAGTACCGTGCAAGTACTGTGCCGGTACCCTATCCTCTCTCTCTGTTCCCTGTCTGGGATTTTGCTGCTCCAAGGTTCAGCTAAACCACTTTCAGCTGTGCGCGAATGGGGTCCTGTGCCTGTCGAGGGAAGGGAGTCTCCCAGTGCGGACGGGCAGAGAGACGGACAGGAATGAAAGACAGGACGGTAGAGGCGTGACAGGCAGCCCCCCCTCTCCCTCTCTCACATTTTCATTTTCATTTTCATTTTCATTTTCATTTTCATCTTCATTTTCATTTTCATTTTCATTTCCCTCCCCTTCCCCTTTCTTTTGTGGTTGCCGTGCTTGCTTCCTATGCTTCCAGTCTATGGGGAAGTGGAATATGTATGAGTGTTCACTCGTGCACTCTCATGTTGGATTGTATGGTGCAGTGCCGGTGCTAGTCCAATGTGTGTGATTCAGAAATCAGGAAGGATAAGCTACGGTACCGGTAGTGCACGCAAGAGGAGGTTGCTTGCACCGTGTTGTAAGTTAAAGGAATTCGCTCGTAGAAGGGAACGAAATGAATGGAGCTGGGTTCCTTGCTTGATACTTGTAGAGCGGTCGTGGGATGGGGTACGGGAGACCGTTAACTGTCGAGAAAAGGAAGGGGGGGCCGGGATGCCCAGTGACAGTGCCGTATGTGCTCTAGCACCAGTACGAGTGCAGCACAAGTGGACATTCGAGTACATGAGCTAGCTGTGGTTTGGTTTAGTGAGGTTAGGCGTTTTCCTCCAATACTCGAGTAGCTCGTGTCGGAAGTGCTGTATTGTACGAGTACTCGCACAGTACGAGCACTGTACTGCTTGCTACTTTTGACATACTCACCACAACATTTATACCGGTGGCTTGCCCTTCTGACCTTGAAATGACCAAGAGCCCTCTTTGCCCTGATGCGACTACGGATACCGTATTGCTCTATCGATTCGCGAGCCCGCTTCTCCCGGCGTCGAGAGGATCTTGCGGTACCAATACTGACTTTTCGCTCTACCCCCCATTTGTCGCTCCCTATTACCACGGCATCATCATCCATCAATCATTCTATCATTGGTGGTATTGCCCCCCCCCCCCCCCACCCCCCCTCGTTGTCCCGGAGTCGTCTGCGCTGCTGCGTGAAGCGTTTCAACTAGCCCTGAAAAGCTGGCCGCCGGTTTTGAGGTACAGCAAACAATTTTCTACATGAATTTTATTCTCCTACAATAAAGATCACCGTATAAGATTCGAGGTTCGCCTTCTCCTGTCTGCTCGAGAGCTGATCTACAGTGTTCGCTTTCCAATCCCCGAGCGGCAAAAAGCTATCCAAGGGAAAAAGGAAGGGGAGAAAGAAAAAACAAAAAAAAACACGCTTTTTCCGTCGTGCGCATCATCAGCCCAGGATTGCTTTTTCCTGCCCTCCCTCCCTCACTCTTGCTTGCAACTCGCCCACCCACCCACCCACCCACCCACTCCTCCCACACACCACCACCAGGGACGCAAAACGACAACCACCCACCCTTCTCTCTCCCTCTCTTCCCACCTACCTTGCCCCGGCCCCTCCTCATAATAAACTTACTCGACTACCCTAGCCTCCGATCCCTCCGTTTTGGAGTGAGCGTCAAACGGCAACCACCAGCAAGCAAGTCCAGTGCTCTCCGGTGCCGTAGCTTCTTCCTCATCCTCTCCCCCTCTCCACTTACAACTAACTGCCTTTCCTCAACCCACCCACCGTCCAGCCCTTTCCTTTTCACCATTCTACCCCATCCCTCCATTCATTTCCTCCACGCCTGACGCATCGTGGCTTCCCCGATTCCTTTTTTATATTCTCTCGCTCGGAAATAAAAAAGGGTGCTGGCCGTCCCCTTCGACTGCTACTACTACAACGACCCGGGAAGTTTCTTGAACGGGGAGAGAAAGGGAGCGGGGAAAAAAAATAAAAATCCGTAGTGAGGGACTGGCATGTTCGTTTGCGCCGATCAAACTTACCGCATTCGATCCAGAGAGAAGGGCTGTTTGGGGACTGACGTGGTTGGATTATTTGCCCGCAACACAGAACACCTCACATCACAGCATACGAGACCTATAGAAACGGTCTCTATTCTACTCGCCGGCCTTGAGCACTGAACGAACGGATTGCACCTCAAATCTATTGTCGAGAACCCACGCACGAACCTACACACTCACTCACCCTCACGCATAAAGAACAACAACAATAATTCGTTTCGACATCGCCTTCACTTTTTTTTTTTTTTTTTTTTGATCACGTTAAACGAGAGATACCTACGACATGAACGGACCAGCACCTGCTGGTGGCTTTGGCGGAGCAGGAAATGGGTTGCAGCACGAGAACCAGAGGTTGTTCCAGATTGTGCTTCATGAGTTGAAGCAGAACTGGAATCCGCAAGGATGGCAGCGGGAGATGCAGCCAACGGAGCGGGCTAGTACCATCATTCAGATGTATGTTGCCACACGTTTCCCATCATGTTTTTCTGAGACCAAAACTTCCGCCTCGGTTTTCGCGGGTCTTTACGCGTCGCCTTTGGATGCCCTTTGTTGTCCGGCCTAACGCTGGGGGAAGCTCTGACATTATTACTTTGGTACTAATTCTTCGATAAATAGCGCGTCCTCTCTCCGACTTGTGCGGACGGATGTAGAACAGGGTCAAGCGATCCAAATTGCGACAGGTTTCGAACGAACGACTTATGAAAAGTCACAAAACAAGGTGGGTTGGATCTCCCGACTTGCATATTTCTTCTTGTGATGTAGCGTGCTTACTGCCCTTGCGTTCGCCACAGGAAGAGTACCGAATTGCGTGTCGTACCAAGTTGCTTAGGATATGCGAATCGAGAAAGAAGCAGATGGCCGAGGCTGAGATGCGGATGAGGAATAATTCGCAAGGTGGGGCGATGTTTGGTGTCGGCGCACACGGGAACATGAACATGAACATGGACCAAATGACGCTACAGCAGCAGGCGCATGCAATGGCTCAGCAACAGCAGCAGCAGCAGGCATTACAGCAGCAGCAGCAGCAACAGCAACAGCAGGCACTGCAGCACCAGCTTCAGCAACAGCAGCAGCAGCAACGGCTCCAGCAACAGCAGTATCAGATGGCTGTGTCTGCTGGCGCTCCCGCACCCGTCGTGGCTCCGCAAGGCCAGGCTGAGCAGGGACCTGACCCTAATAGGATCATTGTTACGATCATGCGATCCATTGCCGATAGAATTGGGCAAGCTCAGCTCCATAATATGAATAATAATCCTCCGGCGCATATCCGTGAACTTGCCCGGAAAATGCAATTACCGCCAGCGCAGGCATACTTGCGACAACAAGCACTCTTGATGTACAAGCGGGGGATGAGCCAACAAAACCAGCAAGCGGCAGGTGCGATCCAGGCGTCCGCAGCTCAACCGGGGGTACCAGGCCCAGCACCGCCAGGGCAACAGTTTGCTCGACCCATGGCCCCAGGGGTTGGGGGACAGCAGAACCCTCTTCCGGACATTTTGAGGACAGCGCAGGAGTATGAAGCCCAGCAAGAGGAGGCCAAAAAGCGAGCAAGCACGGGAGCGGAGGTGGTCCCGATGTCTAAAAATTTGGGGTCGCAATTTTCATCGAATTCTGTGGCACCGAATTCTATGGCAACAGCGAGCATGGGAAATCCGGGTCCACAAGCACAGGTCGAGCAATTCCATAGAAATGCAGCAGCCGCCCAGAACAATGCACAAGCTCGTGCTCACGCCGCTCAATTTCAGTCATTAAAACCGCCAAACGCCTCTTCGAGCCAGGGAAACCCGGCGATAAATATGCAGCAACATTCACGGTATCCACCCCAACAGCCGCAACCGCTTGGACTACAACAGCCCAATATGAATCCGGCGAGTCGGCAGCAGCAGTCGCAGCAGTCGCAGCAGCGGTCGGGGGCTATCCCTCCGGCCTTTGATGGTCTTCCGCCGAGTCAATCTGCCCTCGTAAAAGCGAGGTATGAAGAATACTTCCAGAAGATGCAACGACAGGCCGCACAAGCAACTGCTCCACAACCGCAACAGCAGCAGCCGCCGCCGCAACGGCCCACTCCCAATATGGTCAGGCCTCAATCGGCACAACGTGTGCCACCACCCCAGCCTCCCGCTCGGAACCAACCAGGTCAGGATTTCCCGCCAACCCAACAGAAACAGCCACAAAATGCTGCCCAGGCCCCACAGCCACCTCAGCCAGGACAGGCTCCGACACTAATGCCGCTGTCTCCCCAAAATCTTGCCATGATGGACACAAAGGAGGTGCCGAGGGGTATATTGGGGCAACTGGGTGCCACGATACCAAAGGAGTATAAGACATGGGGTCAGGTAAAACAGTATCTGAAGGATGCGCCTCCTGGGTACCACGAGGCTCTTCGGAATCGACAAGCCCACCATTATGCATTACTTGTACGGAATATGCAGAACAGGGGCGCTTCCGGGGGTCCCGGTGGCCCAGCTGTACCCGGCCAACAGGCGCAGCAGCAGCAACAACCCTCATCGCAAGTGCCTCAAGCATCTCTGCAGGTGAATCAACAACTCCCCCAACAACAACAAATGCCTGTTGGTGTAGATGCCCAGCAAAGGGCGCCAGCAGACCCATTATTCACCATTCCTGGAGGAGATATCACGCGGTTGACCAGCGGTCAACTGAATCAGTTGCAGAAGCTTGCTTCGATGGGTCGTTTAAAGCCTGATGATCAGCATCAGTTGCAGCAACACATTTGCCGACTGAAGGAATTGCATCAGTTGCGCCAAATGCCCCAGGCTCGGGCAGGGACAGCTCATCCGCAGAATGTTGGGCCGAAACAACCCGCTCAGCAACCTCCACGACCGCCTGCACCACCGCAAGCACCCATCGCCCGCCCTCAGCCACAACGACCACCGCCGCAGCAGGCCCAACAAGCACAGCAACAACCTGGATCGGGCGACTCCCCCTCGGCGTTGAAGAAGATGAGGCGCGAGAGAGACCAGGGTGAGGGTGACTTGGTGGTACTGGATCAGAAGCAAGCTGTGCAGCAACAACCTCAGCGGCCTGGGCCGGATAGACCACAGGGACAACAACCGGCCGGCCTGTCTCAGTTCTCGAACCAGGCTCAGCAACAGGCCCAGAAGCTGAATGCTCCTCAAAAAGCCCCCATGCAAGGAAATGCCGCCCAGCACGGTCAGGCTGTTTCGGAAGCGGCGGCGGCCAAGCAAACAGTCATGGAGAAGGAGCAACAGCAGGGACAGAGCTCTCACCAACGAATGCAGATGAGCGGGTTGATGAAATTGCTTGAGGAAGAGAAGAATAGCCATGAGAGTCGATTGCCGCTTCAGCTCGATGCTAACGAGCGAGGCCTTCTTCGGCAACAGCTGGGTGAGGAGAGTACGAAGAATATGATTCGCCGTACGGATCAGTTGCTACCAATTTTTATCATGCTGGGTGGGCCTGATAAGCTTACACGGGACCTTGTTCGAACGGTATTTAACAAAATCGCTCACCCAACCATTTTGACATTGCTGATTTGCTCTTAGAAAAACTTGCTCGCGTCGCAGTATCATCCTAGCGGAGATCCTAAGGATGTCTTCACCTTAAACTTGAAGGAGTTTACCGAGTCCCGTGGAACCCTAACGAAATACTTTAGCTATGTTAAGGTCAATATGCAAAATATCTCCAGTAGGGATCCGGAGAAGGGCAGGGATATACAGCTGCGGGCACTTAATTTCGCCAATTCGAGTGGTGGTACATTCCCAGGGCCTCGTGCTCCTCCTGCAAGCACGCTACAACAACCGCAGCGGGCCTCGCTTCCTCAGGCTCAGGCCCAACAGCATCAACAGCTACAAGTACCTGTTCCACCATCAAGCGAGAACGTGTTGAGCGCTAGAAATCTTGAGAAGCAGACAAATCTGTTGGCGCTCGAGAGATCCCAGTCGCTACAATCACGGGGGGCTCAGATCAATTCACGTGTTCAACCTGTCGGCTCAATGTCTCCGGACGGCCCCGCGCCTATCGATATCAAGCCAAGAATCAGTGTTGATGATCTGAAATTTCCGCCAACCCGCAAGAAGAGACCGCGAGAATCGGATATTGTGGAGCCTCCTAAGGCGAAACCTCTCCCGGAGCAAAGGACATTCAAGTGCGCTCAGCCTGGCTGTGAAGTTGGGGGTAAAGGATTCGTGACCAACCAGGAGCTTTTGGACCATCAGCGGTGGCATGAGAGGGAGAGACAGAGAGCTATTGAGGAGGCGGAGAAGAACAAGAGGAAGCTCGAAAACCCTCTTGAGTACCTTTTGAGCTCTGCGCGGGATATATGCGGTCTTGGTGAGGATGGAAAGCCTAGAGAGAAGAAGGATGAATGTGTTGTTGCCATGAAGGATGACACCCCTTCGGGGGCCGCCGGCGCAACTCCCCAGGTCAAAGCTGGGTCGACGCCTCTTCCCGCCAATACTCCCCTGAACATGAGATCTGGGCCTACCCCTCTCCCATCCGGAAAATCGCCCGCTCTCCCCACCTTCCGTACCCCGCATCCCGCGAATGCTAAGACGCCTGGCAGTGCTGGAAGATCTACCTCTGGAATCAAAACTATGACGAAAGAGGATCATCAATTCCAGTACCATAACGATCAAATCCCAACTCCCCCGGGCAGCAATGCTTGGGAAGTCACTTCCATGTCCCCCGATGTTCTCCGCCAATGCTTTGACGGGATTCCCGAGCAAACATCTGGCTTATCGGCTTTGTATCCTCCGATATTTACTCCCGCCTACACACCCAGCCCGTCCGATGCCGAAGGTGGTGATTCGATGTCAGATAATGTCGGTGGGGGCTACGAGGATTGGAATCCGTTTGGCTGCAAGGGGACTCTAGGCGATGAGGTGCTTCAAGAGGTTGAGTGGGATAATCAACCGACTTCTACAGGCGCGGGCAAGGATTGGGCTTTGGAGAGTGGATACCGCATGAATGCTAGTGTTCTTGCGTAATCCTTTTCCTTTTTCTTTACCCACGCATTTACCTGGTTAGCATAGGCCTTTGTATTTTTTACCCTTTTTACTTTGTTTTCTTTAATCATCATATCCGCACCCTTAATCAGCATGGAACGCGTTCTCGTTCATGGGGTTTCGTGTTTTTTTTTTCGGTCGGGCTGGGCTCTGTAAAGTTATATTCTGTTTTCTGTTTGTTCCGTGACAAAAGGGAAGGGTCTGATTGCTGGTTACTCCTTATGTGGCGCTTGTCTCTTTTTCTTCTATCCGGTTGTCGTATCTTACATCTTAAAGATATGGGGGTTCCTTCCCTCCATAAAATTTCCTCTTTTCTCTTATTTCTTGTTTGCTCGTGTGATCTTTACTTACCGGGAACTGGTGGGATGGCGTTTTTTCTTCCCTTTCTTCCTTTTTCACCTTTGTGTCTGTGATAAAATTCGGCCCATTTATCTACCATCTTACTATCATACTATTAGTTTATATTTTATTTTCATTAGCTTAAAAAGTCCTCTCTTGCTTTCTTGCACTCCCTTCGTCCTCCACCCGTAGTAGCGGGGAGGGGGGGGAGTTACTTCGTTGTACATTTCTCTTTCATTTCCTCTTCCCCTTTCCTGTTATTTTACGATGCTGGTCTGGTCTAGTATAGTCTAGGTAGTGCCCGAGAACGGTCGCTGAGAGGGGAAAGGAAATCGGATTTTTACTATTTACTTTGCATCGTGGCGCGATATGGGTTATATAGCCGTGAAGAAGAGCCGAGTGAGGGGTTGTGCTGGCGCATTGAGCTTGGCGGGGGTCCCGGAGGGAGGGGGGAAAAGAAAAAAAAGAGAGGGGGGGTTTCAGAGGGTGTTTGGGAACGTGTACCGGTATGGTTTGGTTTGGAGTGGAGGGGAAGTCACGGTAGGATGAGTGATTTGCAACTGGAGGTGGGGTCGTGGGGCTGCGGGGCGCCCTACTCGAGTACCGTATAGTCTACTGTAGAAGGGATTGTAATTTACTCGAGTACGGTACCAGTATTTGCGTTGTGTGGTATAGCATTGTAGTGGCGTGGCATTCGTCATCTAACTTAGTCCAACTCACTAGACTAGTGTGATACGGTACTCGTACGGTACATACGTCTTCATGAGCATGACAAATCCGCTGCTGACGAATTATCGCTTCGGCGGTTTTCCGAGTTTCACGCACTACAAGTACCGTAGTACTGTACCGGTACTGTGCTCGTGCTCGTACGGCAGTGATTAAAGTGAGTGCAGAACGGAGTCCACTAATGCCTGTTTTAGGTGGGGTGATAGCAACCAGCTGCCATCTTCCACGAGTACAGTACAGTACAGTACAGTACAATACAGTACTCGAGTACGAGTACCGTGGGTCCCACTGGCACCCGTTGTCGCAAATACGAGTGCGGCCGATAGATATATTCGTCACGTGAGTCTGATAAGAAAGTTTCGGCGCACCTTTTGGCTGCAATTTGTCCTTAGATAAGGCACGTGACGAATATATTTATCGGCCGCACTCGTAGTGGGGAATCTATCTCTACCCCTATAAAGATTCCCATAATCTAGGAGATGGATGGATGGATGGATGGATGGCCTTGTGTGCTTGAAAACGAGTGAAAGAGATTGGTTGGTATCCGGGTAGTCTACTGATATAATATGTTTGCTGGTGGGAGCTCGCAAATTATGATTAATGGATTGGCTTTCCGGCGGCGGTTTAAAATCGTACGTGGGAGGATTTGGATTGATAGTGCGGTGCTGTGGGGTAACTTTTTCAACTAAAATTACTTGGTGAGGTATCGTACATTACGGTGTCGTGCTGGTCCTTGCCCACTGGCTATTGTACAGTACTACTGTTACTGCAGTCTGCGAGTACTGTACCGCGATTAGCTCAATGGAGAGGATTGGTGTTGCAATAGCAAGGAGTATGGTGATATGATAGAAAGCAAATTTACGTGAAGATTAGAGTAGATTCGTATCGTGACCGTTCATTCATTCATTCCTATGGTATCATTGCCTTTCTCCTACCCCAGGGTGATTTACCCTACGTCCCGAATAGGAAGTGAAAAATTACAAGTATCATATAGTTATTATAATGATAGAAAGGAAATAAAAAAGGAGGTAGGAAAAAAAAAATACTAGGAAAGGATAAAGTCAACAACGACAGGTCTATGATCGGAGGAGTAGATTTCGTCATCGAATTTATTCTCCAGGACCGAGTAGTTGGTTATTGTCCAGTTTGCCTTCTTCCCCTCCTCCGCCTCGGCGGCGAAGACAAAGTCAATCCTTTGCGGAACCTCGTCCTCGTTCCCAAAGCCGGAGAAGGTGTTCTCATGCCCGTATCGCTTCTCGGGCGGCACGTCGGCACGCGAATCTCGGAGTAAGCTTCCGGGCGCGGTGAAAATCTTGTATGCGTCGTCTCCTTCCGGGGAGTTCATATCTCCGGCAAGCACCACCCCCCGCCCTCCTTCCCCCTCCCCCAATATCTCTCCCACCTCTTCGACAATCATCCTAGCGCTCTCCCGCCGCGCGACAACCCCCTGGTCGTCCAGGTGTGTATTCAAAATCACAACCTGTCGTCCGCTCCCTCGATGCGTGAAGTAACCGATTGTCAGGATGCGGATGCTCGCCGCGTCCCAGCCCCTCGATGGCCGTTCCGGCGTCTGCGAGAGCCACTTACTCCGCCAGTGGTCCAGGTGCCAGACCGCCGTGTCGTAGATCACGGGCGAGTACTCGCCCGCCTCGTGCCCGTCATCACGCGCGTGCCCAATGTAGCTGTAGGTGCGGGGCAGCAGCAAGAGGATGGAGAGGAGTTGCGTGTGCAGCACTTCCTGCAGACAAATGAGGGTGGAAGGGTGCTGGTGCTGGGTGTAGGTTATGCTCGTGATTATGCGTGGCAGGCGGGTGGGCCAGGGGGACTCGTGCGGGAAGGGGTCCGTGGTTGCGTAGCGGATGTTGTGGGTGTACAGGCGGAGGGGGAGCGGTGGCGGGGCGCTGGATTGTTGCATTTTGGGTATGATAGTTGTTGCAGGGGAGGGGGGGAGAAGGTGAGGGGGGGTTATCGGAACCCACCAACCCGGTAATATGCCAATTCTTGCTCTCGAATTTCTTGTTGTCGGCGCATGCGAGCTTGGGTCTTGCGGAATGCCTTTGCCTCGAGTTTTTTGTCGGAGGAGAGGACAACGAGGAGGAGTTGGATTAGCAACATCTCTCTCTCTTCACCTCTCCCTCCCTCTCGGGGGGTGCGATATTATATGACAGTAATAATGGCAATAATAAAGTCGGAGGAAAGAGGGAAGGGAGCGAGGAGATGGAAAGCAGCTTGTTATTCTAACAATGCCTTGCGTGCCCCCCTCGAATTCCGGAGGCCACGCTGGTATGTACGCAGGATCTGGTGTGGTGCAATACAGTAGAGCAAAGCGCCTGTCTGCCTGACTGCTCGCCTGCTTACTCGACCAACCCTTGAAGGCAAGAAGAGAAGAAATAAATGAATAAATAAACAAACAAGGCTTTAGACTGAATAGACCACTCGAGTGGCCCCCGGGGATGCGGGGGGGTTTTTAACTTAATTTCCAACCCAACATACCCATTTACCATTCTCATAAAACCGCACTCCCAGTGGAATACCGTACTGTACCTTCTCTTCCTCCCTTGCCAAAGGCGGATCCGGAATGCCGGCGAAAATTGACCAACCATCCGTTCAATCGAATGGGTGGATGGATACCGAGCAAGTAAAAGGGAGGGAGGGAGGGAGGGAGAGCAGCAAAACCCTGCTTGCGGGGACAAAGTTACTTGACCTGGACTACCGTGGGGGCAGGTAGATGATGTAGGTTGAAAAGTCTAATCGCCGAAAGCGATTGAAGTTACTAATGTACTCGTACAGCGCCAATCATATCACATGGTATCGCATCGCCTTACACACTTCACTTCCCACCGTATCATGCCCTTCTCACGAGTACGGTACGGTACTGGTAGGTAATGAACGGTGAATATCCGTACCGGACGGATGCGTACTCGTGCCTTTTCTTCTTTTTCTTTTTCGTTCAATAAGCAGAGTGTTACGGAGGCGGAAGGAAGGTTGGCGTATGGTACCACTGTAGGTGCGAAATCGGAAGCGGGATGGGACTGTGCGAGTAGTGTGCAGCGTTGTATTGTGGAGATACTGGGGAATCGTCGGGGGTCGTCGGGGTGGGGATAAAGCTAACCCATCATTACAACTCCGGAGTGGCGTCGGTCATAATGGGTTAGGCGGGTTTTTTGGGGGGGAATCAAGTTTGGTAGGGACTAAGGTGTCTGAACGCGGTGACGCCCGTGTGTTGACGATGTCTGTATCAGTGTTTAGGGGAAGTTTAAAGGTGTCATGGCTTGCGGTGGTGCTTCTGTGGATTGCCAAGTTGGTGTGGTGGTCGGAAATCTGACTTGGGTTTGAATACCGGTATGATAAGCTTTTCCCACTCCCCACTTTTTATACTCGTACAGGTATGATGCTATCGGCATCAAATCGGGGTCAGGCACTAAAGACTGGTACAGTACAGTGCCATACAAAACAGGGGAGTTGACGTTGATTTCGGTCAAGCTTAGTCTACTGTAGTGGTAACTTAGCATACGGTATTATACAACGCGGCCTCCCGTCCTGTCTGTAGACACGAACATCCCATTTCTCCACAGGAGGATTCTTTTCGACTGGTGTACCGAATTGGATGCCTGGCACCTCATCTAGCGATTATCCTTCTATGTTGACTGGGGGGGAGGGGAAATAGAGATCCCTTAACGTCATGTTTCTCGCATGTAGTCTACTGTACCCAAGTACTCGAGTACCATACAGTACCGCACCGGACATTGCATATTATACTGCTGAAATGCCAGCTACGCACCGTACTGTACCGCTATTCTGCTCGAGTATCCCTACGGTAGTTGTGTATCGTATCCGTATCATACAAGCCTGAATTAACCTTTACTGACCGCCACTATACTCCATCGAATCTTAGCGAACCACGCTGTGAATCAATAATCAATAATCATTTCCCACCGCCTGTGCCATTCCAACCCCTTGCCTTCCAAAGCGCTGACAATCGATACCGACCACGTCGATCGGATATGGAACTTGGACTGACCAACATAGGAGGTTGGGAAATTCTCGCATCGGTCTCTTTCTTTCTTCCTTTTTTCCTCTGCCTTGTCCCTGTGTGCGGTAGACTACCGTGCTCGGTTTTATGTCACTTTTACCTTATCTAGGCATGTTGGCTGGGTGCCGGGTGGATATGGTACTGTACAGTATACGGTAAGTTTGTATCGTAGCCAAAAGATGTTCGCCGGTTGTAGAATCGCACCAATGCCTATTTCGTGGATGGATACTTGTGGGTACAGGTATCATGTGTATATGACGGTACCATGGGCAGGCGGGAGAGAGGGAGGAGGATCGGATGTAGGAGAAAGAGGGGAAAGAAGGAACAACAACGGTAAGCATGAGGGGACGGGTTGGATACATATGGCAGTGGTGGTGGTGGTAGCTTCGGTCGGGAGGGGTTTACCTGGTATGACAGGCTACTGGAGGGGGAAAGGTATGTATGACAGGAAGTTGCATGTGGGAATTTGGGGAATTTTAAGATTGGAGACCGGAATGGGGGTACGGCAGTGTTGTCACAGGGTTTGCGGTGTTTACACAAGATTGGTGGATTGTCTGGCGGCGATGGGTTGGACTTCGCGATGCTTTTCGTCACCGGTCGACTGTCTCCCTGTGAATGGGCTACTGGAGGATAGGTGGTAGACTAGGTGTTGTATCGCTGCCCGATACAGTACAGTACCGGTACGCAGACACCGGATGATGGTTGCAGCAGTTCCGGGGATAAATGTTCACCAGAAGCGTTATGCCTTTGGCGCGATGCGAGCCGTGAATTACAAGTACTTATGGCAACTGTGGCCTCCCATGATTAGATGGATGAGAAATGGGGCGGCTGCGCTGTACCGAGCATAGTGGTTAATTTAAAGAAATACTCGTAGAGGGCTCATTAGGAAAGCAGTAAGCCAAGTACAGATATTTCCCAGAATCGATGCCCTCCGGCAGCCTAATATCCACTGATCCACCGCTGCTGTTCCTCGATCACCACCCTGGATTACCGAAAAAATTATCCCTACAGGGCAATACGTATTCCCCGCGAAGCGCAAGGGTAGCCTGCTGTTCCAGAGTGTGAGTTACACTGTCCAGGGTTGCCTATTCTCTGACGTTAACCTTCTGCAGCGCACATTGGTCGATACGGACATCTTCCGGTCTTGTTCCTGGCTATCATATGGATATCGCAAATCCTGACATCATTCTGAAACCCTTATGGTATATGGCGGGGAACGAGGTGGTACTCGAGTGGAGCGGAGTACCGTATGATAGACATCGAAGGCCTCTGGGGCCAAGGACCAAATTGCTACCATACTGCCGGTATGCAGAGACCTTGGGAGTATCATACCATCAACCCCTCGTGATTCCGGTGCTACGAGTCGAGACCCGCCGGAAGCAAGGAAATAAGCGAGTGATGTTCCATGCGATGAATGGCCCCGTAAATTGGCTTCCGTCCGGCTATTCACCTCGTGCTAACTCACGGGAACGCGGAGACGTTGACGATAAGTTCGATAATCACGAGGGTTACGGGTAACCTACCAATTGACCCGTACGGGAGTTTCCATCTTCTGTTGGCATATTTGCTGACTAATTAGATTAGATTAGGTCTAACCCCGCCATCGAGGACTGCCGTCTCACACCCATCGAGGGACAGCCGCACACACAACGCAACTCGATATCGTCAAACACTCGAACCTTGAAATCTTTCCCCCCCAACGACAAACCAACACCCAACGACACGACGACGACGCAACGACGCCTTCGCCAACCCCTCTCCTCTAATCCTCTCGTTAAGCGCCATCTACAACAGCAGCAAGGATGTCCCAATTCGAGCCTGTGGTGAGTTTTACCTCTCCGCTGGAGTTTTCTATATCGGGGGAGAAAGAAAGATTGTGGCTAGATTGGGCTTCGATGAAATACCGGAACAGGAGCGGGAAGCTGATTGGCGCTGTTTGGTATAGGTCGTTATCGATGGCAAGGGACATCTCCTCGGTCGCCTGGCCTCTACGGTTGCGAAGCAGCTTTTGAATGGTCAAAAGATTGTGGTTGTCAGATGTGAAGACTTGAATATCTCCGGCGAATTCTTCAGAAGCAAGCGTGCGCAGCCACCCCATCTGGAAATGAGCTTTGTTTAAGCTCTTGCTACTCCTGGCCTTGTGGCGCGGCAAGCTAACACCTCATCTTGGAGATGCATAGTCAAGTACCATGCCTACCTTCGCAAAGCTACCCGTTACAACAAGACTCGTGGTCCTTTCCACTTCCGTGCCCCATCGCGCATCTTCTATAAGACTGTCCGTGGTATGGTTTCTCACAAGACTGCTCGCGGTCAGGCCGCTCTTGAGCGCCTCAAGGTGTTTGAGGGCATCCCTCCTCCATATGACACCAAGAAACGTATGGTCGTTCCCCAGGCCTTGAGGGTTTTAAGGTTGAAGCCTGGAAGGAAGTACTGCACTGTTGGAAGGCTGAGCCACGAGGTTGGATGGAAGTACCAGGACGTTGTCGAGAGGTTTGTCACCCGCATCTTCAGAGTATACACTGAAACGGTTTCCCGGGAGAGAATCTGATTTGTGGGACTATTCAGGCTTGAGGAGAAGAGGAAGGCCAAGTCGGCGGCTTTCTATGCCAGGAAGAAGGCGCATGTGAAGAAGTTGGCTATCGCGGCCGGCAATACTTCCACAAACAAGGAGGAGTTGGCGAAACTCGGGTATTAGACGTTGTGTCGCATAGCAGGAAAATCGACGCAAAAAATGATCTCCAGTTGACTTGTCATTTTCCAACGAACCTTCTTTTTTAAAAAAAAACTTGTTTCCGTTTTCCCAATCCGATCGATGTGCGACAATTCCAATTTTCTTCTAGCCTTTTTCTTTCTCTCCAACGGGTATCTCCTTGTGTAGGCTAGGAACGTGCTACAGAATAGAGGTAGCACAGGGGGAAAGGGGGTAGGATGGGCCGGAGGAGGGAGGGGGAATGCGGGAAAAAAGGGAATCGGGTTTTTACGTTGTTTCGGGGGTGTTATTATGGGAATCAAGGGTTTTTCGAAAGGGTCGGGACGGGAATGAGAGGAGGGAGACTAGAGGTGATTGATATTGGTTTCGATTGCTTGCTGGGTGACACGTTTTTCTATTCTCTCCTTCGTCTGTCTTCTTTTCTCTCTCCTTTTCAACTATTTTACACTCTGGGGAACCCTTTTTAAAAAAAATGCCCGACAAATTTCTGTTTTCTTTTTTTTTTCATCTCACTTTTTTTTCCTCCAACTTGTTCACTTTCTCACTTTTTTTTTTTTTTTTTTTTTTTCCGCTTTCTCCTCGGCACGGAGTGGCGCAAGTTGAGGAGGGATTTGTGGTGAATATCACCAACCTCCAAACAAATCAAAGCATCTGGCCTGGCCGGTTTGAAGCGTTGCTAGAAGCCCTTGTTTCTTTGAACGCTACATTAGGGTGGTCTGTCAGTAGAATTGGCGGTGTTGTGTTGTAGGTAGGACAGCCCACGGTAAATATCGTTGCCTGGTTTGCCTCGGCTTTCACTCGTGGTCTGTAGGACAGCTTGGGGGGAAGAAGTTGCACAGACTGGATTAGATTTTCATTTCATGGTCTAACTATTCTCACACGTTCGTGCCGTGGAAGTTATGGCCACCAACAATATCACGGCACGCTCTTCATCTCCCTTTCGCACAGCTCTAACCAAGCAATCGCCGTGGTAGACTCGCCCCAGGCAAGAAGCATCCGAAAACGGGGACTCGTGGAGTATGTTGCAAAAAATCCGTGCATACCTGAGCGTCCATACAACTCAATGGAACCATAACAAACTCGTGACTCGCATCTCCGGATCCTCTTGCCTGGGGCGAGTAGAATAGCACGGTATGGCAATACGATAATCTCCAGGGGACTCAGTTCTCTCGCCACTTGTGCGAACAAGAAACACACTACCCTCACCCCATTTGTCAACGCTATCCACTACGATCTTACGGACGAGAACGGTAGGAGGGAGAGAGCAAACCTTGTAAAATGTGGTCATGGGCTCATCTGCACTCCTAATCTGCACCATATAAAAGTAGGCCCTAGTACCCCCGCACTCATCAACAGGACACTGCGCTATACACTCCCCACCATTCCATCAGCCACCATCTACCCTTCGGGAGGGAGGGAAGGGAGGACTTGCCATCCGTCTGATCAACGTTATCCCAAGCCCCCTCCCCACCAAGTACGTCCTCGACCTCTTTCCGTTTCATCGACTTGCGCTCGTAGTACGCCTGGTCGAGGAGGAATTGGTATGGACATGTGCGGCATTCGAGGCGGTTAGTGCCGGTTTCGGGGGCGCGGGAGACGGTTAGTGTATTCGAGCATTGAGGGCAGAAGAGGAGCATTTTTTGTTGCTGCTGTTGGCCGTTTGACGGGTTGGGTTGGGGGGAAGGTGGCGGGAGGTGAAGTTAGGGTACCGGTAGAGTACTCGTAGTGTAGAATAGTGTCCTAGCACAATACTACTGCACTCTGCCTTGTGGGGTGAATATTGTGCTCACGTGTGGATATGGTATGATGGGGTGTCGTTGTCAACACTGGCACAAATAGGATCGTTTGGGGCTCTTGGGTCTCGAACGGCGTGATACCGGTACTCGAGTACCGGTAGAGCATTCGTAATTTACAAGCCCGGCTGGGGCTTAGTCAACAGGGGTTGGAGGGAGGACGGGCAAAAAAAAGAAAAGAGTTATTTATGTATCACACCTTTTAAGCCGGTTTGGTATAATTAGGAAGGGGACATACAGTATCCCTCTAATATCGCACCGGTAGCCTATCAAACCTATAGTATTGCACTTTCATCTACGTACTCGTACTGCTCCACCACACGAGTGCGCATTCAACCAGACCAAACCAAACTGATTTGTTTCCTTTCTTTTTTTTTCTTTTTTCCATCGTGCCCTCTTTCCCGCGTCTTTAAGAGAAGGGAAGAAAAACATTCTTTCCCGTTCTATTCCTCCTGAGTGACTGAGTGCTTCTGATCTTCTATTCCACTGAACGGAGTTGAGCACGCGGCACTTTTTTTCTTTCAGGTTTGTTTCTACAATTGACGGGGGTATCGTGGTAATCGCTGAATACGTCCGAACAGTGCCTTTGGAAGCAACAACAACAGCAACGACAAGAAAGGGAAGAAGAAGAGGAATAGAGCTGGACCATGGCTGCGACTACTCGAGGAACGGAAGAGGATGTTTGTTTCCCCACCCCTTTTTGCTTACTGTTTGTCTCCGGTGGAATAGACCGTGCTAACGAAACGATATTCTAGGGTGCGTCCCCAAAAGAACTCCTACTCGAATCCGCCCGGCGAAACAATACCGACCTCCTCGAGGAAGTCATTTCGGAGTACTCTTCCAATCTCGCTGATCTGCTGAACAGCACCCGAGACGGGGTTGGTAATACTGTTATTCATCTTGCGGCGAAGCATGGCTCCCGTACGCCCCCCTCCCTCAGTCGTGCTCCTGCTGTAGACTGACAGTCTGTTTGTGGGTGTGTGGGTGAGTAGTGGAAGTACTAGACATGCTCCTCGACCAAGAAGACCTGGAAGTCGACCCGCTGGACAGAATGGAGAAGGAAACTCCCCTTCATAAAGCCGTTTTCTACGCAAAGGATGAGAAGGAACATGGATTGGAGGTGGTGGAGATGTTGATTGATGCTGGGGCTGATCCCAGGTTTTTATCCTCTCCTCTTCCTCTCCTCGGGCTGTGCATTGTTTGGCGGGAGCTAATGGGGGGATATAATAGAATACGGAATAAAGCCAAACAGAGGCCTATAGACATTGTCGATCCAAGAGATACCGAGCTACGCGTTGCGCTGCAAAAGGCGGAGTTCGCCGTGACGGCTGGGGGTGATGTTGTGCCGGAGTCGGACGACGAGGAGGGTGATGGAGGAAGTGCCTCTGATTCGGAATGAGTTGTTATGGGGAATTGTGAGACTTGAACACTTAGATCTTAGGGAGTGCCCTTTCCTATCTTGCTGAGCAGGCGGGGTGGGAATGAACGGGGGTGAAGTACATGATATATGGATATATGAAATGCGAGTTGTTTGGTGTTTTGTGGGTATGTTTAGGATGCCCCGAAGGCTTCCCTGACAGGGTGAGGTCTCCCGAAGGAGAGAAGGAGGGGCTAGAGACCGGGTAGTTGGCCGTGGAGTATCGCCATGGATCCCGTTTGCTTGGTGGGATAAGGGTGGTTTAGAACTGAATTTATGACACCTTGATAATATACTCGTACTGTTTTTGTCGCGTGTGGTGGAAGTTTATGCGGGTTTTTGTGAGTGCCACTGGTACTCGTGTAACTATGGCACGGCGGAGCACATCGTATGATACTCTATAGACATGGCTAAGGGGTGATGTAGGGTGTTCTCTATGTTACCCCTAGGGTTTCCCGCATGAGCAATGCCAATTCGGAGGATTTAGCTATGATTTGGAAGTTCTTGCAGGTGCGTGTGGTATGATACTACAAGTAGAGCACTGCACCGCTCGTGGCCAGCCAAAGACGTATCCATGATAAGAAAGGCGCTTTTTGTTCCCCCCACTCAAATCGAAGGAGGTTAACTAGCTTGGAATATTGTGCTTACAGCGTTGGCGTTAGTCTGTCGGGTTACAAGGTAGGCCGTTGCTACTTTCTCTGGCTTGGTCGGGGACAGCTCGTATTCGAACCATGTTCGTGGAAGATGGCACACACGAAGGTTTATGGCGATAGTAGATTATCTATAGGATTTGATGTTTCCGTTTGGTCCCCTTGCGCGGGTGAAAAGGGGGGGGGGGGGTCGCTATTCCGAAAGGCTTCCAAGTATCGGTATCAAAGGACCTGCACAAGCGGATGATCATTAGAATACCGCACGAGTATAGTGCCAGGACATCGCATCACGTCTTACCCGTATAGTAGTCCCATTACGCCGGTTATTCCCTATTCGGTCCATTGTCGAGATACCCTTCATTCCATCGATCCCAAAGCATAAATTTCACTCCTTCCCCCCTTTTTCCCCGAAAGAAAGACCTGCGGAGGAAAAAAAAACTAAACTCCGAAAACCCACATACAATCTTTAACTCCCATCCTTCTTCCCCCCCCCTCCCCTTCTACTACTACCCCTTTCCATCCTCCCCCCTCTTCTTGAGTCTATCGTAAACAGCCTCTAGAGTCTCCTTTTCCGCCCGCTTGCTGGCGATCAACTCCCGCAGCACGGCTTGCTCCTTCTCGATGTCGGCGAGTGCCTTTTGGTGCATTTCCTTGAGCTTTTGTTGGTCCTTTTGCGTTTGGGCGATTGTTGTGGTTGTTGTCGACATTGTTGAAGGAGGGATGATGCCACAAGGCTGGAGTAATTTGGCCTCACAATGAGAGGGGTTGGAGGGGTTGGAGGGGTTTTCTTTTCTTTTCTTTCCTGCTTGGTCTGGGGGGTGTTCTGGAGCTTGATGGTGGTTTTGCTGTAGCAGGTGGGATGGTGGATGGATGGCAGATGTGATGGGATGGGATGGAAGGTTGTTTTGCTTGGCGGTAGGGATTACTGGGTTGTCGGGTACTCGGTGCGGTAGGGGTGGGAGGGGATTTGAGGTGGTTTCACTGGGGTACCGCAAGTTGGGTACCGGTACTGGTACTGTGCAGCACTAGTGCAGCACAGTAATATACTCGAGTACCGTACTCGAGTACCCCTCCCACGGCTCCTGCCTTACGAGTGCCAAATATTTTTGCCTCAACTGCTGCTAAACAACTGGAAACATGATACTGTATGGTCGTTCGTCGAAGCTGGTGAAAAATTAATGGCTGCAGAGCTGATCTTCAGGTGCCGATCTGTACCGATACCCGATACGCATGTTGCAGCACAGGTACTGTACTGAGCACTCGAGTATGATAAGTTGTGACAGCTGCGCTGCTTGTACAGGCATAGTGCCGCACCGCCCGGTCCGAGTACGAGTCCAAGTACTGCAGAAAATATCTGGAACAAGACATCAGAAACATGTGATATGTGGGTTCACGTTCAATACTGCGCGCCGTCCTCTACGAGTACCGTACTCGAGTACAAGTACCGGTACATAATAAATAGTCGGCCACCCCCCTCGCCGAGATACTTGTTTTATCATACTATTTCTCCCTCTCACACTTCTCCCACCTTATTCCCCTTTTATCATAATACCACCTACGAGCAAATATAAAAAAAATGTTCACCTTCCCCTTCAAGAGATCCCCCCGGAAGGAGGAAGGAAAAGAAGTAAAGCTCGGATCGAATCCTACCGGCACGACCGCAAATCCCTTGCACAAACATGGACATGGTAAGACGGCGTGGGGTGGTTGCAGTGGCGATGGGTGGGAGGAGAGTAGTGGGTATGTATTATAATTATCTTATACCTTTTTACTGAGAATTCCTCCTCCTCCTCTTGGAAAGGAAGGGAAGGGAAGGGAAGGGTTGTTGACGGCCTGGTTTGTGGTAGTGCTTGTGGGAATGGGTGCGGCGGTGGGTGCGGCGGTGGGGGTTGTGGTGGTGGTGGGTGAGTGGTTCCTTTTGCTTGCTTGCTTCCTGCTTCACTGGTGCTTGTCGAGGGGTGCTAACGGGAGGGATGTATGTAAATTAGGTGCGGGGCGAAATGAAGTGGGTTTGGGATGGTGGGAGTGGCAGGAGGGAGGAGAGGTATGATATATATATGCGGTGGTCTGTGGGGGTGCAAGTTTTGGGGAGATTTTTGTCCGTCTAGTTTGGAGGGGGTTACCGTACTGTACTCGGGTACAAGCACGAATGAGTTTGTTAAGATATCGATATCGTGATTGATTTGGGACCCTCTTTTCTTCTCTTATTTTACGTTGCTGCGGTGTTTGATAACTATGAGTTTCCAGGCTTGCTTTCTAGGGCTTTAGAGCTATCGTTATCATAGCTGGATCTCTTGTTTCGCCTTTCCCTATCATACTGTGATATATCGGCACGAGGGTGCTAGTTATAATACTGCCACGATATTCGCTCCCGCGCTTCACATTCCTGGAAAGCCCCTACCATACAAGTATTATGTTTATCGGTCAGCCATATATCTCTTGGGTCCCAAATTTGCACTGAAGTTTAGGTACAGTAGGCATTCGGTTGTCGTAGCGGCGGAAGCGATAGGGAGGAAGTGTGTGACAGGATAGCTTGCCTGCAAATACCAGCAGTATCATATTGAACCCACCGCGGTTCTAAACTTCAGAATTGGTCCACTTTAGTCGGCTGCCTTCTTCCAGTTGAATGATTGATATGTAGGAAGGGAGGGCGGTTGCACGCTTCTCTAACCCGCCGCTACTAGTGCCATAATGATAATTTGCGTATTCATTGCCCTACCTCACCACTCAACATTTTGGTGTATCCTCTTTCTATATATGATATTTACCTCACCTTCCCCCCCCCCCACCCCCACCCACCCTTCCATCGTTTTCCATGCCGGCACCGTATTTACGAGTGCTGTAATATTATCAGTGCCCCCTTGGCCTTACCCCCGGGGGGGGGAGGCTAAGCTCCGAGAATTCGGAAGAGTATCATACTCGTGTTGGGGTAGAGGGGGTGCGGTAAAAATCGGAAAACCGTTTTCTGTCGATCCCACAGAAATCTCCGTGGGGGCGAGGATTACATTTTTCCGATTTTCACTTACCCCCTGAGTCCTCGAGTGCTACTATGATATGAAATATCACGGGGGGGGGGGGAGGGTTTCTATGCATCCGCTTTGTCCATTGCCATTTTCATCCAATCGGAGTAGACCTTGCTCCCAAAGTTGGTGGCCCCTTCTCTGTTGATTAGACTAGGGGGGCTAATTACTGGTACGGTACGGTATCATAGCTCACTTTGCTCCCCTTTACAACCGCGAGTAATTTGGAGGGCAAAATGGCGGCCCGACACTCCGTCCTGAAGTGGTGGTGGTGGTGCGCCCATCCTATGGCACCGTAGGCAAGGCGTCCGTTCCCGCCCGATATCCATACCGGGCGCGCGTCCGCTGAGGATATCATAAATTTAAGGCCGGCGAGGATTCGCGGGCTACCTTACTCGTACTGAACGGTGGGATAAACCTCCCAGGGGCTCCCTAGCCTCCTGTCTCCATGTGCCGGTATTACATCTTGCATAAATTATGACTTTCGTCCCACTTAGGCATTCCATTCAAGCCTGGGTGCTCAAAGACTGGCATGATATGTTGTATAATACGGTAGGCTGGTTATATGTGTCATGAAAACTCATCCCAGAGCCTCGGCCTTCCCTCCCAACAGATCGTGGTGGATCTACTCGTAGAGTGTGCAACCGAGCCTTGTGGGAGCCGTGGGTTGTCGGGTTGGGACTGCCTTGCGAACCTGTCGACCCCAAGTGAGGGACTAGAAAGGGGGTATGACAGTTTACAGTACCGGTACAGTACAGTGCTATGTTGTGTTACTGATACTAGGTTGTGGATTGGATGGTTGTGGGAGGTTCTCTTTGTTACTACCGGTATGAGTAGTCTAATGTCATGCTAAACCACGATGGCACAGAGCGCTTAGCGGTATACAATAATAGCGGTATCATCCGTGAGTGCGTTATCTACCCTTTCGTATTATATGTGCGCATTTCCCGTGTGGCATCGCGGTTATGGCCACTAATTGTTGGGTAGGGCTCAGACTGGCTTGGCTGATAGTACCGTATGGACACCAGAATTTCCCCCTGCCGGTGATGTGGGATGGCTCAGTTATAGGAAGTACTACGAGTGGCACAGCGGTGTAGGGCGGTGTTGTGAGTGACGGGGTGGTCACCCCCAAAATCCAACTTGACCCGTCACTCCTTATTCCTGACCACCCGTCACTGACCATAGTCAGGTTCATGACTAGGCACTTGGCGTTAACGCGTCCTCACAACACTGGCGTAGGGTGCCCCGGATGGAATATCTATCTGTATTGGGAAGAACTGCTGGAGTGGAATACCCGAAAACGGTTGGGAAGGTTTACGCTCGAATACTGACAGACTCTCTAGGGGACACTTCCATCATTGGGTTTGGGAGCGTTTGCGGAGGGCTTTGCTGTCCTATCGCTGGTGCGGTATTTCGAAGCACGGGAGGAAGCGCAGGAGCTCGAGCGAGGGAGGAGGCACCGTATTATGTGGATATACGGTGGGCATTCGGATTCTTTCCCTTCAAGTGAGGAGGGACTAGATATATGGATCGTATGGTGGTCCCTAAGCTCGAGCGGCCATCGGCGTGCCCGCATACCGTAGGTGGTCAATGCTTCGAAATGAATCCCTAGCAAATACCCAATTGCCCTCATGTTAATATTCCCTCTCACCCATACTAGAAATTTTATGTATTGGGCTTCTGGATAACTGGTTAGGACTCCTCTTCCTTTGGAGCCATTGCTGTCGGACCATTACTTACCTTCACTCTTAGCGGGATGCCGCGTGCACGGGTGCAGGTCCTTGGATTGCGCAATCAATGGAGTTACTTGTTAGGGATGGCTACGAATTTAGTCGTGATGGGCACGTAATCTCCTGATATCGCTAGGTATATATGATACTGCAAACCTCCTCTTCCTTCTTTGCCCCCCCCCTTTCTTGCTTCCTTCCTAACACACAAGCTCGGCCCTTCGCGTCAATTATGGACTGCACCTACCACATTTCTGATTCCTATCCTTCGGATCGATTCATCTCTTGGAGCGAGTGATAAGCGATGACTAACTTCAAAAAAACTTCAATTGGATTGATTGCCCTTCACGCCAAAAATAATATCACACCCCGCTAAGACATTTACAGGGGCTCTCCCCGAGACCGGTATCAGATATGGAGGGTCAAACCCCGCACTATCAACTCACTCAACCGCACCCGCGTCCACGAGTACCTTCTCAACCTCCGCGAAACCACCTCCCCTCGCTGCCCGTAGTGCACTCCCATAATGTCCGGCGACAAGGTTAATATCTGCTCCAGCCCCCATCAACATGTTCACAACCTGCAACTCTCCTTTCGCCGCAGCTGCCTGCAGTGCCGTCCCAAAGAACCCCCCAATAGAGTTGACTTCGGCACCGCGCTCCAGCAGCATCTCCACCATGTAGACATCCCCGCCACGGGCCGCGACGGAGAGTACATTCCCGAACGCCCCGCATTGAGCGTGGATATCTGCCCCCCGGGAGAGCAATAGCCCAGCGATTACGTTCTTGCGCATTGCTACTGCTAAAACAAGTGCATTACCGTATCTCGTTGGTGCTTCGCTCAGGTCGGCGCCAGCGTCCAGGAGGATTTCGACCATCCGTTCGGTGCCGCCCGCGACGGCGGTATTCAGGATAGTCCCGTACTCCCCTACTTGCGCGTTCACTTTTGCGCCCTGGGAAATCAATATCTGTGCTACATCCGTGAAGTTTAGCTTTACGGCGATATGTAGTGCACTCCCGAATTTCACTGCTGATCCGAGATTCCCCGTGGCGTTCACGTCCGCACCTTTTGCGAGGAGGAAGGTGACAAGAGACGGGTGGTGATAGTACACTGCCATCCACAGAGCGCGAACATAGGTTTCTGGGTGTGAGACTGGGGTGATGTTGCGGAGGAGAAGCTTCGCGCCGTGCAGGATGCCGAAGCGGACGCAGGTGTCAAGTGGTGATATGGGCTTAGCAAGTGCAGGTGCATGCTCGTGAAAGAAGAGGACCTGGTGCCATTCTGGACTGTGGTATGATGGTCTAGAGATACCGTATTTGCGGGCTTTTCGAGGGTGAGTTAGTGCGGCAGAGATGCGAGGATACAGTGCAGCGTCATAGTCGGCGTTCTGCTGCGTGTGGAGGGTCCAATTGCTTGTGGCATATTGGAATAAGGAGTAGGGTTTGAGCGCTCTGGAGAGGGAGGGCGAGGTACTTGATAGTGGCGGCCATTCCGAAGTGGAGTCAAAGTCGACCATTGTCGCGACCATGTGGATATCTTCTAGCATGGAGTAGCTGAGACAGGTATTCGCCAGGACACCGTGCGAAAGATGGTAGTCTGAGAAGGTAAATTCCGAGAGCCTGCCGAGATCTTCACGTTCTGTCTTGGAGTAGCGATAAGTTAGGAAATCTTTGGTAGAGGAGTGAGTGATGTGGATTGTCCAGGCTTCCGGGGCAGCGCCCTGGCGGCGGACCTCCACGAGTCCGGCGCACAGGCGGAGGATCTGGTTGTTGATGTAGCCCTCGTCTATGCAGGGTGGAAGGCGCTCTTTGGGGAATGTCGCATCACCGTCTTTTAACACGAGTGCTTCCGTGAGCTCCTTGACGCTCAGAGGCCGTTCGGCAAACAGTGCCCATCGGAGAATTTCCTTTGCTCGATCTCGTTCTTCCTTGCCAAATTCAATGACCTTTTCCAAGAGGCTCTTGTAAAGTTGTGGTAAACTGGTTGGTAGAGACGACAAAGTTTCTTTGAGTTGATCCTCTGACATCCAGGGTTTTAGAAGATCCCCCGCGCGTCGCACCCACAACATCGATCCACCGCTCCTGAGAGAAATGCTCTCGGCCAGCTCTCTCCTCAGCTCGGGTGTCTCCTCAGCGAATTTCTCCTCCACAATCTCCTGCGCTAGAAGCTTTGAATCCGCCGCAAAATCCTCAGGACCAGCGGGGATCTCAAAAACCGAGTGAGAATCGAGTGATCTGTCATGCTCCCTCTCTATGGCGCTCCTGATATCACTGACATCCCGGCTAAGGACGCAGAGCCGCACTCCAGTGGTGTGAATCATATCAAGCAATCTCTTCAGAAACACTCCACGAACACCAGCCGTCCTGGACCGTGCTGCCTCGTCATAATCCAAGCACTCATCCAAGCCGTCAAGAACGAAATAAGATTTCCCAACATCCTGTAGGGCAGCGCTGAGATTCTGCCAGAGATCCTCTTCCTTACCAACTTTGTCTTCGGGCAACCCTTGGGCAGCCTTTCCCCCTTCCTCGCGGAGGATAGATAACTGATCTATCCACGATCGTAATATATTTGTCGTGACTCTTCGAATCGAATCCTCATGAGAGGAGAAAAAGTACGCCACAGGCGCCTCGCCGCTCGAAAATAGCTCCTGCACGATTCTAGCCGCGAGAACAGTCTTCCCGAGCCCATCTGGTGCATTAACCCACAGGATTTTTGGCCCCTCTGAAGGTGTAGATGTCCAGTTCGTGTATCCGGGGGTCGCAAATATCCACTCTGCGCTCCCCGGAGTCCTGGTTTCTAACGCACGGATATAATCTGAGGCGGTGGGTACAAATGGAGGACTCTTTTTGACGTCTTCACCTCTGCTTATGGACTCTATATCATGTCAGTCCGGGGTATCAAGGGGGGCGGTCGTACGTATAGTTGGTGGACAAACTATTGGAGACACTCAACCCTCTCAGCATATAACTGAGTTCCTCATCGTCGAAACCCTTCTGTGCGAGCTCTTCTAGTTTCTCAGTCGCGGTCCTCAATCCGCCGACCACCGAACCAATTTCACTGTCGGCCAATAACATCTCTGTATTCCGCAGGATGGCAACCGCTTGTCGGGTATACGCTTGTGGAATTGCCGATATTCTCTGGTCCCACCGAAGGAAGTTTTCTCGGGCTTCATGGGCACCCTCGATGTCTTGGGGCGCGGGATTGTTATTGATTGCAGATATACACGCATCGTAGGCGGTTCGTAGGTCAATCTCCGCTTCTATCACCATCGCTACTGATTGCTGTTGCTGTAGTGTTGCTTCAGGTGGTGTGGAGTCATTCGAAGAGGGTTTATTCCTAAATCAGGGTGGAAAACAAAGTGCAAAAGGCTGCCTTTGAAAGATATATACCTTCTGGACTTATATCACTTTTGCTCACGCACACACACACAGGGGATATCAGGCCGCTTTGTTATTATTACGATCCAGGGAATTTTGGAACCAGACTGATGGTATCCCCCCTCCCTCTCCTGCGCCCCGCCCCAACTGAATAATGCTCTATCATAATATCGTAGTATCACAAGTAGCTAGTCCAGCACCGGAACCATACTTCTCATCACAAAAGCCCATCGATCATGGTGAGCGAAGGGTATATTACAGGAAATTAGCCATCATATCCATCCATAAAACATGACACTAAAAACTACAATGGTGTTAGTTACAAAAAAAAGCATGAACGGTTGGCCCTAGATAGAGCTTCCAAACTTATCGAGCCCCGCACATGGATGTGTGGTCGTGGCGGGGATTTTTGGCCTTTTTGTTGTGTTGCGTATGAAGTACAAGTAGTGTAGACGGGACTGGGCGATGAGGGTCGCTCGAGTAGGAGGGATGAATGGTTGCAATTTGAAACTGGTGAATGAGCATTGGAGTGAGGAATGGGGGAGTGGGGGCAGCTGCGCGGAATGTGCCGCGGGATCGATTTGGTAAGTGGCCAGGCACTGAAAGATGGGGTAAGTTGCAGTGGGTGGATAGTGAGTGGTCTCTCTATCACTACCTTACTAGTGGTATCTCGGGGGAATATCCGGGAAGGGAGGTTTTACTATAGCCTCATGATCAATTTTGGGGCGTTGCAAGACAAACCAACAGACAGGTGGAAGAGCATGATCCGATGATATACATGCAGCATGTACTCGAGTACTCGTCTAGTGCTCGAGCGCATTCCAGTACAAGTGCCCTACCGGTGCTTGTGTTTGAGAATGCTACCAAATAACTAGTCCAAACCCGTCAGAGATTTGGTGGGCATTGCACTCATTTTGCCGGATTGAGTGCAATACTCAAGTTACACACAGCAAATCCGAACATTCCTTCAAGAGCGATCCCTCTACCATTATCCTCTAACAGTGTACCCGCTAAAGTTAAAAGTCCGACCCCGAGGTATGGCCGCCAGTGGAAACAGCAATTACTCCTCTAGCAGCTTTGATGATGGGAGAATTGTGTTAATAACTATTGCTCATAGCTCAAATATCCCTAGAAAACAGGGTCGCTGGTGGTGTTGAGAGCCTATCAGAAGTAAGCTTCCATTTTGACAAGCAGGGTGTGGTGGTTCGGTCGTTTGGGCACAGGTAAAGGTCGGGGACAGACCTTTGATTTGAGCGAGTACTGCACGCAATCACTCGGCCACGGATCCGCACGATATCCATCTATCATACCTACCCAATGTGTCCATCCATATTCCTACTCTACAGCGCAAGTACCGTACTGTACTGCACAAGTATCCTTAGTATACCAATCACTCACCCATCGACCCGCCCGGTCAATCATTAGTGGGGCGAAAGACCGCAACGACTGAGGCATTCAGCCACCGGGTCGAGAGAGCGCTTTTCAGGAAGACGTCACATACGGTAAGTTACACCCAAGTTCTTCGACTCGAAAAAACTTGCACAACCCTTCTTGCATCCCGGGGCAGAATAATGCCTCCAGTTCTCTGCCTTCCATGCTTCAGATGTAACTTTGGCAGATTGGGTACGGCTCCGGTCACAATAGGCGCGCTCATGGTATGATGCCAGAGGGAGAAAAAAAAACCCTCGTCCAATTTCGACGTGGTGATGGTGATATCATGCTCAACCTCTTGCTTACCGATAAGGCTATCACTTCTATGATACTTGTCGGATCTTCAGTTTGATACGGTACGGTGGATCATACCCCCTACTCTTAATCATCCATCGCTCCGTGCCATCATCCCAGCCGAACGATCACCGCCAACAAAGAAGACTTCCCGTTAATTTTTTTCTTTTTTTTCTTTTTAAAAAAAAAAGATCGCACAATTGGAAATGTAAAGTACTCGAGTATGATAAGCTGGAAACCCGAAACACCCGGCCGCAATCGATCCGCGATCTCAATTCCTGGAAATATCATTCATTCATAGGGACTGGAGGACCAACTTTCTTTTTTTCTTCTTTTTTCGATCGGGGTCCGGGGGCGTTTCTTAATATCATAGGAGCACTTGAAGTTGATGATGACGGCCGTCTGCAGGATAGTCTATCCTACTATGCTGTGCGAGTACGGTACTCGAGTACAGCGCTGCTGGTACTTGTAAGCAAAATACTGGTGGACCAGGCGTACAGTACAGTACTAGTACGGTACTCAGTACTGTACCGTTGCTAGTATGATACTCGTATGATACTAACCGTGGCGCGCCCAGCATCTTCGGGGTAGTTGGGAGGAGGGTTTCACATCAACTAACACTGATTTGTATATCTACGTATTGTCTGAATCTGCCTACCGTACTCGTATCGGAGATGTCTTCACGAGTTTTTTTTCTTCTTTTCTCCAAGCTCCAGCTAGAGGGAATAGGAGGAGAAAACTCCAAAATAAAAAAGGAAAAAAAGGAAAAAAGGAAAGATATGCCCAAGGGCTTGCTTACCACTCATCATCCGAACGATGATTGCATGATGCCCGTACGGTACATACGATACCCATTTTACAGTAATTATGGTAGGTACTGTACGAGTATATCCATCCCCCTTCAGAGGCTAGCTAGGGCACAAGCAGGTGTATCATAGTAAAGTACGGTACCGTCTGGTATCATACAGCGCTGCCCACAACGACAACAAGAAAAGCAAGGCGAGGCAAGGGAAGAAAAGAAAAGAAAAAAAAAGAAAAAAAACCCTCGACGGGTTGACGAACAGGGATCCGTGATGGAAACCCATATTTTTACTTTTCTTTTTCTTTTTTCTTTTTAGAAGCTGGCCGAAGCCGAATACCGGTGCGAAGTATCATACTGAGCTCTGTACGAGTACTAGTACAGGTACAGGTACTTCCGGTTCAACTGTAAAAGTTCAGGATTGAGCGATCCGGATACTTATACTCGAGTTTGTTTTTTTTATTTTTTTTTAGCAATTGGTAACTCACTTGTACTCTTATCATATTCGTCTTGCTTTCGCTTTTGAATGGAGGTTTGATGAGGTTTCGTTCTGCTGGGATATCGTTGATATTTATGAAAAACTCACTCTCAATTCCCTCCCCCCCTCCCCACCCCTTCTGACGACGTATATATCGTGCTTATGTTTACTTGTTCCGGACGGTAAATTGGTTTCAGATGTATGATAATACGCAATGTGGAACGGTATTCATACGCAATGGCGGTATCCATACGATACGACTTGGGGTGTAATGCGGCATCACACCGATGCAATACGTCCGGCAAAACTTTACGAAAACACCAGTGGTATATGTGCTGATATCGTGACTGTCGTCAGTGGCAAATGGGCAAACAAAGATACAGTACTCCATTCACGAAGCATAAGTAAAATTAACATACAATCGAACAAACGGCGTTGCCCAGACCCGGATCAAAAAAGTATCAATGGTAACAAAGAAATAAGCCAAAACAGGTCGTATGTCGTGTCATGCAACATCGTGAGATGAAAGCAATACCGGACTCTGTGAACGGGCATACATGGAAAGAAAGGGAGAAGGGAGAAACGGAAGGAAGAGAAAAAGCAAAAAAAAAAGAAGGAACAAGAAATGAGAAGAAATAGGTGAGGCGGGGCAGTACCGGATATGAGGGGGATGGGGAAAGGAAATCCACTTTTTGTTTGTACGTACGACCGAACCCTTAATTTCACAGAAAAGAAACCCAGCATCAGAGTAATAAAAAAAACCCACTCGGCTCAAGATAACCAAGGCCCCGTCTCCACCACCCCCTCTCTAGAATCCCGAATACTCCGCTTCTTCTGTCGGTCCTTAATTTTGCGCTCTTCGTGCTTGAGCTGGACCAGACGCTCGCTGACAAGACGGCCCTGCAACTGGGATTCGTCCGCAAAGATGGATCGCCAGTTGGCATGGCGCTCGCACTTCTTCCGGATGCACACATCGCGGCCGTCGATGCGGCGGTTGTCGAATACTTCGTTGCCCTCAGCGCTTGCGCGCCATACTTCCCACTCGCCCTCGTCGAGCGCGAGGCGCTCGTCAAAGCCGCAGATCTCCTTGCCCGTGTGCTTAACATCCGGGTCCGCCTTCATCTCCTCGTGCACACGCTTCGCCCGGTCTTTGGCCCAGTCGATATATAGTGCGCGATCCTCGTTCGCCTCCGCGCGGTTATTGAGCGCTTTCTTCTCTTGGGCTATTTTTTCCAAGCGCTCGATTTCCTCGGGGTAGTCCTTCCAGTTCTCGTCCGAAAGCGGTGGCGTTGGCATGCGGTCGCCCAGGCGGCGGAAAGCGGCTGCATTGGTGACGGCGGAGGTTAGTGATCTAATCTCCGAGTGGGTGTACCGGGTTCGGTCCGAGTCGAGCTGGAGTTCGAAGAACTCGACGCCGTGGGCGTCGCTGCAGTACTTTGAGGGAGGGCGCCTGGACACGTCTGCTGGTCGGCGGCAGGTTGTTAGGCGGCACTTGCGCTTCCAGGTTGTGCGGCCGTAGCCCTTGTGGGTGCATCTTGGGCCTGGTTTTTTTAGTTAGTTATGAGTGTACAAATATGGTAGCAGCAGCAGCAGCAGCAGTAGAGGGGTCTTACAATAGTATTTATCAATTAGCTCGCCATCCTGTTCTGCAACCTTGACGCATTCGCCATGATACCAGTCGTTGCATTTGCCGTCACAGGCAATCATCCACTTTCCGGAATCGGGCTCGCGACAGATGCAGTAAAGCTCTAAGCCAGCAGAATTACATCTCGCCAATGGCGAAGGAGGAATATCCGGCGAAGTAGGATGTAGAGGGGTAGTATCCCTCTTGACAGACGTAGCCCGAGTAGCAGGGCCTTGGTCATCCGTCTCTGTATTATACCCAGAAGGAGCCTCGCTCTCCCTCTTTTTCCCGCCCTTTTTCGCAATCTGTCTCTTCTTCGTGGTAGTCTCGTCTTCAAGATCATCATCCCCATCAGCCGCTGCCTTTCTCTTTTTTTTCTGTAGCTTCGCAACGCCCTTCTTCCTGGGGGCGGGCGCTTTGGCCACTTTGGCCTTCTTGGATTTCGGTGGCATTGTCGTCGTTGCAATTGGTGTCCCCGCTGCAGGCGTACCGATGGTTGTTGTATCAGCGGGCGTGGGAGCGGTCGTCGATGGGGGAGAGGCAGAGGTGGTAGCTGGTGGTGAAGAGCGTAGAATTTCCATGTTTGCCGGGGAAGCTCTATCCGATTCCGCTCTCACGTCGCCACCACCGCCGACACCAACACCACCCTCCATGCCCATCTCGTAGTCCTCGTCCTGTTCCCCGATCGCATCTCTATCATTGGGGCTACTATGGCCATAGCCATTTGTCGTAGTAGTCGTCGTCACGCCCCGCAGCGGGGACCCCGCAGGTATCCTTCCGGGTGATACTGGGGGAGCCGGGGACGACGATTCTACAGTCTCTGTATCTGAGGATCCACGGGGCGCTGCTTCCGTATTCGACTGGGGGCTGAGTTGCCTATGCTCACGAATGCTCGCAAAGTACGTCAAGGTATTCGCTGCTTCCTGGGCATTGGTTTGCGGGAGCCGCCGAGGGGGAGGTGTTGCGTTGCGGGTATGGACGGGCGAGGAGGGACCAGAGGAGGCCGGATTCAGCAGATCCCGAAGCGAAGACATTGCGGAAGTTCACTCACTCACTCACTCACCCAATCTCCGGATGGCAGGAATGGGTAGGGGATGGAGGAGGTGATGAATAGTGAAGGAAGCGGGATGGGCAGACCTATGATACGAGCTCGGAGGAACGGGGAGAAACAAGTGCAGTCAGTGGGGAGCTGTAGGTTAAGCAGGCAAGGCGAAGATGACACCCGGTAATTTTTAGCTCAGCACCCGAAGCGAGGACGAAGCGACCTACGAGATGGGCGTCGAAGCCACGCGGTGGCACTCGTTCTTGGCGGAGCTTCTCTGTCACCAGCCACGGCCAGCACGAATATTCGAGCATCGCTGATCATTCGAATACGATACCTATGATAGTACCCGGTCCAGGACGAGCAACATACCGGCACGGAAGGTACGGGTGTTTCGGTAGAGGTGTATCTTTTGGAAAACACGGTAACTTTGCACAGCAAACCTCCTCGGGAGGAAGGGTGTAGCATACTGAGCACGGAGATGGTCATTCTACAAGTAGACTATTCACCATCCCTTCCAAACCAACTCACACTTTTCACACTACTGTTGGTATCAAGCGCCAAATCATTCCAGGATAAGATAGTGACACTTGCCAAGCGAGAACAAGGAAGCTGATATACCAGTCCTGACGGCAGTTTATACAGGTGACGCCCAAGGTGGTAGTACTGGTACTGTACACCTGTATTAGCGGGGTATGTTGTGTAAAATTTACTCAGTTCGCGGCGTAGCCCACGGGGAGCCTCGAACCGCCGCGGTAGGATGCTACTGCACCGTCCCGTTATTGATACCGAAGCACGGGGAAAAAGCAGCGGTGCATCAGTCGAAACGGCCTTCATAATGATAATTGCGTCCACAAACTGCCACTTTCACACCTCAAAATGAGGCAGACATGTGGACCGACCTCCTTCATTCAAGCCGACGATGAGGAAGAAATGTACAAGTATCATACATCAAAAGAAAAATAAGCACGAAAGAAAAGAAAGAAAAAAGCGACGCCCCAGGCAAGAGTGAACAAGTATCGATATACTATAATATACCCATTTCTAAGCCTTATTCTTCTTCTTCTCCCTCTTCTCCTTCTTCGGCTTCTTTTTCCCTGATACATCTTCCTCCTCCTCCTCGTCCCGTCGTCTCTTCTTACTTTCCTTATCTTTTTTGTCCTTTTTACCCTTCTTGTCCTTCTTCTCCTTCTGCTTTTTGTCGGATTTTTCCTCTTTATTCTCCCTGGGTTTCTCCTTCTTCCTCTCCTTCTTCTCCTTGGACTTCTTGGGCTTGACGATATCCGCCATTTCTGGGTCAACCTCCTCGTCGGCGTCGACCGTGATGTCTGCGAGGACGGCATCCATGGCATCCTTCTGCTACAGGTCAGTAAAATGCCGGTGGAATCAGAGACAAAACAAGTATACCATAGCATCCTGGTTCTTTTGGGGAGCGGTTCCATTCGCGTAAAAGTCCAGCCTCTCCTCCACCTGTTTCCTCAAGGCCTCCCCAAATTTGATTGTAGGCGAATCGGAGAAGGAGTCGATTCTGCTGGCGATAGAGCACTTATTTGCCAAAAATCTGGAGATCCTTCCCTTGTTCTTGGCTCCAGCCCTGCCGATGAAGGAGGAGTGGTAGATGAGACCGTATTTGGGGGTGTTTCCCTTAGTCTTGAGTGCTCTGAACAGGGCCTTCTCGGCGCCCAATATCTGTACGGTGGAAGCAGGATACTTGGAAAGGTTGGTCAAACTTCCAGCGCGCGAGATGAGCCTGGCACCAACGACCTCACCAATTAGCTGAGTGAGATTGGGGGCAACAATGCTCATCTTGTCAACGAGATATCCGTGAAGGGTCTTGCGGTAGTCGGCGAGGGAAACGACTTTCTCGGCAAAGTTGCAGATGTTTTCCATATCCATGTCAGAAATATCCTGACCCATTGAAACCTTAGCAGCGTCGATGATAGACTGGGCGATTTCGGCATCGTCGTTGGTAATGGCAACAAGTTCGTGGAGGCGCTCGTTGGAGAGTGTATTCTTGTCACGGATGAAGAGAATCAGGCGGGCGTAAAGGTAGTTTTCGCTAACGATCTTGACAAGCTCCGGGAAGTGCCACGAGTACCATTCCCTACTCCCCATCAGTACATAATCAAGCCAGCCCCCACAAACTAAAACCCACCTGACACGCATTGCGAAAGTGTTAATATCCTTGTCCAAGGTATCCAGCAGCGCAATCGACTGAATAATATGATTATCATTCTTCTGAACTGAGAACTTAACCTTCGCTCTCGAGTAAGCGTGACCAAGACCCAACTGTGCACGATCCATATCCCCATCCTGCAACTGCTTCAATAATTTCGGGCCCCACAACCTAAGTCCGCGCAACAGGTCCTGCACAACCTCATTCGTCTCGCAATCGACGCCAGGGAAAGCGGCCTTGATGGAACCGGCAAGATTCTTGTCCGAGATGCCGAGAACAACCTTCTTCTTCTTCCCGCCCTTGGGGAGGTTGAGCTCCAGGAGCGCCTTCAAATGATCGCTCGCAATACCCTCGGAAATATCGTTCGCATTTTCAAGCGCTTGAGCCGCACCTCTACAGACCACCAACGGATAAACAGAGCCCAATTAGCGAAAACTGTGGAAGAAGAAAAGATAAACGAGGTAAACTGAACTGGAAAGGCGCAAAAGAAACCAGCTTGATCATTTTTCCGAATCGTGAGAGGTCCTGAGAGGCTTCTTGAACTTCCTTGAGACGGTTGCCGATTGTGTCCGGCTGCTGAACGACCTGGTAAAGGCCATAGCCTACCGAGGTCTCCTGGAGGAGATAATCGACTGCCACCATTGTTTCCTTGTTCGCCGGGATGGGTCAGTTGGCGGGGTGATTTTGGCTGGAGAGTGGTTAGCTGGCAGATGAGGATGTTGGTGTCAAGAGTGGGAGAAGTTTGGGAAATTTTCGGGTGGCTCCTAACCGCGAATGGGAGCGAGATGATGGGGTTAGGGTTTGGGGTTTCTGTTTTATCAATGATCAGGGAGGCACGAATTACGGAGATATCATATCAAATCATATCATAATAATTATTATCATACTTTTCGGACAACCACTCACAGCGACCAAACGTGCCAGTAGGTGGGTAGAGTATTCAGCAGAAGACGAGCGGTTCGGATTAAAGAGGTGTTCCCGGATAATCTTGTTTCCTCCAAGCACCACCACCCAGGATTTCCGGGGAAAGGACGTTGAGGATGCCAGCAGAGAGTGGTTCGCGACAGCTTGTACCTTCTTGCTAACCTCCGCTACTTGTATATTGCCCCCTAAAAGAAGCTTGAACCCGATTCAACTATCCCTTCTCCAATAGACCATCCCGCGGCCGATAACGCGGTGTTGCTTGGGAAACTTGAGAGTAAGGGTAACTAATTTCGTTTCCCATCGACCTACCGGTATAAGAATGCACATCCTAAACCTAATCCGTCCACACAGATCCACAGTACCGCCGCTTTTCTGAAGGGGCGATTTCTTTGAGGTCTTTGTCTAAGAAAAAACGCTTGTTCAATTCTACCTCCCCCACTAGTATGGTGCCTCTGGGACCCGCCTGGCCAGAGTGTGACAAACGGCACACCCGAGAACGAAACTCGGGGTGGGTCCCAGGGACTTATCGGCCATCCACCAGCACGGGATAAGGTAAAGAATAGGGGGAAATGGCAACAAGTAAGCAGAACTTGAAGGCATCTACCTGAATGACGAGGTAGCCAACAAAATATAGTAGAGAAACCAGCAATCATGAGCGTACTACGGTATTACGAGCAAGCTCTCTTACCTGGCTGCGCAGAATAGATGAGCCCATGCTGAGCACCAGATGGATACTTAAAAAACCAACTGTAGGGTTGAAAATAACACATAGAATAGCAGCATGACTAGTGTAATACAGCAACTCAATAAAAGTCTTGGTGATCCCATATCTTATTTGGACTCTCCCTTTATATCTAAGATATCTGGATACTACTACCACTTCAATGGTAATAAAATGTTCAAGTTTGGATTGAACTACAATGATAATTATAATCAATATAATACTTTACAAACAGTATAATTTATAATTGATAATAAAATACTAATATTAAAGAGTATTGGTATTGCAGGTAATACATATATATAGATCTTTATCTCTCTATAAGGAATTATATTTTTATGATATATAATACATTTTCATCCTGTAACTAGCATTATCCTCTAATATCAATTGTACCAGTAGGAACTCAAAAGACTAACCTCAGTATTTTGTAAAGAGTTTATAATCAAATATCTTTTATAGATCTATTCCTCAACTTAAACCTATACCGAACTTAATATAATTTTCATTCTTTACTAGTAAATTGAGGCTACGGTTTCTTTGTTCAACGGCTACATAAAAAAAGTGAAAAAAATGAGGGAGAGAGACTATCCGCTCTAGACTGGTGAGTTTACTAGATTAGAGTAGGCATGACTTATAATATTAGTCCAAACGCCTAATCTCTCCTAGAGTGTTAGGAGATCAACCTATATGTTGACTAGAACTCGTTGGTTTTAGGCATACGGTACAGTAATTTGGTCAGATTGATGCTCAGGATCTAAGTCGAGTTTAACATACAGAATGGCTTCGAGCGGAAAAATAATAATTCCTTGTTACGTATGTTAACACGATCCGGAAATAGCCTTCTACGAGAGTGCTTTGATATTGATATCTACCGCCTAGAATGAAACTCTAACTAGATGGAGGAGAACGCAGCTATAGCATGTGATCGGGCAACACAAACAAAGTATCGACAGGCAAAATTATATAAACCCCTATCCCTCCACAAACCCGCTCACCTACTCTCGCACGCTCCCAAAGCCGTCCCCACCATTTCTAACCCATCCCCCAAGCACTCCTCTCGCTACCTCTTTCGCCTCGTTCCTCGTAGCCATCTTTACCCCCATCTTAAGCGAGCGATACCGATCTCCACCGGCCCCCTCGACACCCTCGGCCTCCGCAACCTCCTGCACCAGCCTCCAAATCAACATCTTACAAAGCATACTAGCCCCCTTGATCCCCGAAGAAAACTGCTTCCTACCCTGCAGCACGCCTCCAATTAATGTCTCAATCCTCCTTCCTCTAACCCATACAGCTGAAATATTACTCCCAACAGCACCCGTCCTAACAGCCCTCTTCGAAAACTCAAACTCAAGATTTGTAGTTTTCACAGTGAAAGGGGAGAATTTGTACCCGCTATCAAACCTCCTGCCCACCAGTGGTGCCATGCGTCCCGTTGCACTGAAAGCACGTGCACACGCGGTAGGGTAGTAAGGCGTTGTTGGGAGAACTACTGTCGATATGTATGCGTTTTCGGGGGATATTAGGAGGGTTGTTGGGGATAAGAGGGCAGATGTCACCTGCCTGATCGAGAGCTTGTCGCTGCAGGATTTTGAGAGGGTTGGTGAGGAGTCGGCGCGGCCGGGCTTCGTCCTGACAAAGCCGAGCTCTGAGAAATACTGCCGCCCTCGGAGGAGGGCTGTTGGTGATGCCAAGATGGTTGTGGAGGTAGGTGCAAGTGAGAGGGTAGTCCAGGGCACTGGGTTATCCTGTGCCGCCATAGTTACTTCCATGCTGGCATCTCCACCTGCTGTGTCGTTAGCTGTGAAGGCCGACAAGTGAAGGGAAAGGGGATCGTACAAGGAGCCTCGGACGAATAAAAATGTATCAGCACACTCTCTCGTAGAGTGAACGGCTGGGGAGATTGATGGGAAATCTCTTGTTGACTTCTTCGGCGAATGAACTTTGATACAAACAGTTTATCTGCCAATAATGCCTTGCATTCTTCCAGCAGGAAACTGAAGCTATTAGTCAGGTTCTCTCTCACTCTTTCTCTTCCTCTTTCCAGCTAGATGAAGTCAAAATCAAATTTCGTAAACATACCAATTAAGCCCTCTGATAGCAAGCACTATTCGATGATTAGCAACGAAATATCTCTCATTTCAGGATAGACAAACCTTCGGCATGACTATCATGCAAAACCATGCCACCGGCTAGCGGAATCTTATTCCTGGAAAGACACTTCATACCAGTCCTTTATAGGTATTAGCTTCTATTCATCCTAATTTTACTAAAAGATATAACAAAACTCACCCGAGAGCAACAGAAGTAAGCCCACCGGCGCCCTCGCGGCACTCAAGCACAATACCGGACAATGGGACCCATTCACTGGCATCGCACCTTCCTAGTGGCTTACTTTTATTTGGAAGCTCAGCATATGCTGAAAGAACAGCGGAGGCAATTCTGTCACCCAAAGTATCCATTCTGATGTTATCTGTTAGTCATGTTGGTTGTGTCAGAGCAGACTAGGAATAAGGATTGAAAATCAGACTAGTTTGGGTTAGTCAGAAGACTTCAATCGTGGGTTCCCGTCACTATTCATCACTCGGTACCGCTTCCAAGCATAGAAATTTTAATGCGGGTACCGGGCAGCCAAAGGTCACGTGTACGCCACACTTCAAGGATATAAGTGCATCTATAGGGTATCTCCAGTAGAGATCATTCTTCCCACCTACATTCTGCTTAAAGCTATGGAAATAGGATATACTAGAGACTGCATGTAGGACTTGCCCGCTATTCTCCACACCCTTATCAGATATACCATATAAGACTTAGTCTTCTCTTCTCTCTTCCTTATTCTCTCTCCCTATCAGCTCAGATACTAGTACAAGCATCTATGGGATCCACTCTCTGACCCCTCTGTTCAGCTCGTTATCCTATAGGCTGCTTTAGCTTGCAAGTTGTTCCTCATCCTAGTAACTCTGCTTCTTACAAGCTTTCTCCCTTTCAGACCTTTTCTCTATATCTTCATGCCCTACCAATCTTTCTACCTCTGTGAGTATTTTGTTCCTTAATAACTCGTTTTTACTATTACTATTTCCTGAATCTCTCATTCTTACAGTCCCCTTGGCAGTATTATACAACAACCAAAATAGCCCTAACTTACCGTTGCCACTATCCTCTAAGCAGAATAAAAGGATGGGGGGAAAAAAAGTTTAAAGAAAAGATAACAAGCCAAATAGCCCCCCCCCCA